ACCACACAGGGCTCAGCACCTGACAGCAAGCTCTGATCTGGGCTCCCCCTTCTTTGTGCCCCATGGGACCCTGGTGGGCCAGGACCTTTCCCTGAGGATGTGAGGGCAGGACGCTGGAGCAAATCCGGGACTGGCATCCCGTTATCGCAGGAGACGGGAGGCAGCCCCGGGCTGCTCTCAAGTGGTCCTGGCTGATTAGTGACTTCAAGTGCCTATGGAGTTATTCTAAGTCAAGTAGGCGCAAAGGGAGCCAACCTGGGACCGGCAAAACCAGCCTGGGCTTTCCTGGAGCGTCCCCCATCACCTCTGCTCCTCAACAAACTCTCTGAGATGGGGAGGTGTCTGCCCCCTCCAGCTGCTCTCCGTATCCCTTATTCCTCCTGCAAAGGCTGTTTGCTCCAGCCCAAAGCAAACCTGATTTTATCTCCCGACTCCAGTTCCCTTGGCTGTGGGCCATGGCTGATGCCTCCCACGCAGAACTTGCGAAGCCCATTTGGGGACCCGCGCACAGAGCGGGCTGTGTGCGCTGCCACATGACATCATGTTTACGGCCCGCGGGGGCCCAAGGACAACAGCATCGCTCTCATGTGTGTCCTTCCCGTGGATGGACAGAGGGATATGCAGGGAGCTGGAAGGAGTGGGACTGACTACAGTGCCGTGCTTCCCTGAAGAGGGGTGGTTGCAGCTTTGCTGCACTGCCAGGCAGTCCCCCTGGCCTCAGTTTCCCCGCTGAGCAGTGGAAAACAGATCCTATGCTAGCAGTGAGGATGGACTGCTGCAGCAGCACAAGGTCAGGCCCTCAAACTGTACAGAGAGAAAGACAAATTTTCTCCCCTTGGGATGTGGATGTTGCCTTCTCTCCCAGGACAGAGCTGGGCTTTTGTTGGTGCTGTGTGAAACTTTGGTTGTTTGGAAAGAGTAACAACATCCAGAACCACACAGGCTCACTAAAGAGGGCGAGGGCCATTCTTTCTCCTGTCCATCCATCCATCCATCCATCCATCCTCACTTACATGTAGCTTTCTCACAGCCGTCTCTCCATCCATCTACTGAGCTGTCTGTACACTCACCCATCCATCCATCCATCGACAAATGGGTGCATCACTCTTCTCATCCATTCCCACACCTACCTGTCCATCCAGACAGCCACCCACCCATTTGTCTGTCTATACTCCCATTCACCCCTCTGTCCATCTGTCTCCCAACTGTCAGTGCCCAAGGGATGCCCAGGGCTCCTTAGGGGTACAGTGTGTGCATGTGTGTGTATGGGACATGTTGGCCATGAGAAGCACAGTGGGCAGCGATGTCCAAGGCTGTGTCCAGCCATGGGGCAGGGGCAGAAGTGCTGGCCAGGCAGAGAGGAGGCTCATCTAATTTAAGAATGGGCTGCACAGTTGCTGTCAGCACCGGGTGGCTCTGATCTGGGGACAGGTCCTCATCAGCTCCACTTGCCACCCACTGGCCTGACATGAAAGGGCTCTGCACCCCGATAAGGCCCCAGATACTTGGCCCTGGAGGTGGGCAACACTGTGGCCGAGCCTGGGAGACCCTGAGGAGTAAGTCAGCGTGACTGTCCCCAAATTCACCACCATTCCAGCACAAGGAAAGCTTGTGTGTTTGCATCAGTTGGGAGTTCAGCCCTGGGGACTGCCCACTGCTTTGAGCACTGGATCATGCCCTGGGTCATCACCATCTCCCACTGGGGATACAGTCCCAGGGAGGGCTCTATCCTCACTGTCCCCCTGGCTGCCACAGGCCTCTCCACTGGCCGTTATCCTGCATTGGAGTCCCCCGGCTGTGAGCGGCCATGGATGGGGACCATGTTGTTTTAATAAGATCATTCTCCTCCTGCCGTGAGGTCGCAACCCCAAGCTTATGACATCACAGTGCGCTGCCATGGAGATGCCGGGATGTCACAAACACAGCTCGATGACCTCACTGCAGGAGCAGGAGATGGGGCCAACCTGGGTTTGATTGCCAATGTCCTCAGGAATAAAAAGGAGGGGAGGGACGCTGGGAAAGTATGCAGCCGCTGAGCACTGGGGTGTTTGGGTTGGAAATCGCTGTGCTTTCCCCACAGCGGGAAAGGCCCGTTCTTTCCTCCCCCTGTCCACTCCCTCCCAGCAGCCAGAGCCCCCCAGCCTTGTGGCTATGGCACAGGGGGGCTCTGGGAGCAGGGCACCCCAATCCTTGCCCTTGGGGCTGTGCGGTCAGGAGTGAGAAACATAGCTCAGAACAGCATCAAGGCACCAGCTTAGAGGCAGAGAGAGTTCAGTGAGAAGTGCAGGATGGGGCACTCAAGGGATGCTTTGTCCCACAAGCAGGATGGGGATCACTGGGGACGCTGTCACAAGGGGCAGAGTGTGTTTGGGTCTGGGGACGGCCTCCTCTTTCTCAAGAGAATTCCAAGGCCATGCTGCTATATGGAGACATGATTACCCAGCACAGCACCCCGAAACTGGACCCCAAAGAACACCCCTTGGCCCTGCCCATCCAACCAATAGCTGTCCCCTCCTCAGCCCATAAACTACAGCTTCTCCTGGGGACCAGCCCCCACTATCCCATCACCCTTCCCAATGCAGCTGAGTTCTCTATCCTCCACAGACTTTTCTACTGGGGAAAGCATGGGTGGCTGGGGGGACACCCATCCCCCCCACCTCTCTGCTGCAGGGGTGCAGAGGTGTCTGTTCTCCCCCTGCATCCTCCGTCATTAATTTCCATCAGTGGCCAAGCAGGGCCGGGGCTGCCCGGGGGTGGCCGAGGAACACAGCGCTTTCCCCTGATAGCAAAAATAAATACATTAAAATTCTTGCAGGAGGCAGAAGAATGCGGGACGGCAGGAAAAAATTGTTTTATAATTTGTAATAACACAAAAGCTGGGGCGGGTGGGGGGCGGGGGGAGTGAGCTGCGAGAGGCGAGGAAAGGCAGAGACAAAGGCTCAGCTGCGACAGCAGAGGCTGCTTCAGGGTGGCAGTGGCACCCCCATTGCCTTGGCTCAGTGTCACCACTGTGTCCTTGTCCCCTGAAGTACGTGTCCCTTTAGGTCTTGTTGCAGAAGGGGAGTCAGTGAGAAAACTACTGGGGCTGGGGGAGCAGGCTATCACACCCGGCTGCTTAATCAGGTCTCAGCATCTCTATGCCTCAGTTTCCCCTTGTTAAAGGGAAATTTTTATGCAACTGTGAGAAAAGCTGTGAAACAAGGGCAAAGCCCTGGCATCCCTCCATCCCAGTTCTTCTGGTCCAGGCACAAGGCAAGGAGCCTACCTTTGTTCACCCTGCCCCCACCAACCCCTCTCAGGGGGGTTTGCTACAGGACCTAAGCAATGGGGCCAGTTCCCATATGCGTGCTGGGGGCATCACAGCCCCCCCCAGCCACCTCCAGCCTCATGCAGAACTAGGACATGATAAGGCGAGTTGCTGAGCACCAGCTGCACCTGCTCGTCGAGACGGCACTCTCCCCCACCCCGCTCCCCTCTTCGGGGCAAAATCAAAGGGATTTTTCTGCCCTTAGGAAATCAGATAAAGGCCTCTCACCTGCCCCGCTCTGCCTTTGCAAGGAGGCCAGGCGCTAGGGGCGGGGGGGACAACAGGCACTTTCAACACGCCGGCAGATGAGCCGTGCATTGCAAGCAAGCTCTGCTGCAGGGGCTGGGCCCCTGGGCACTGTGTCAGACTCCCCAAGCCTTAGCAGGGATGTCCCCTGCTGCTCTTTGCTGACTTTCCCCCTAAGATTTGAGGTGATGAGATTCCTGTAGGGCAGGTAGGATGGAGGCTGGTGGGTGAAGGCAAAAGACAACAGGGACTGGACATGGTGAGGTAGCCCAGATGCAGTGCCCTGCTCAGGGAAAGTCCTGTGCCCCTGTTGTCCCCATGCTGTGGCCAGAGCAGCTCAGTCCTGGTCACAATACCAAGGGTGCAGACCAGGAGCTCAGTTGCTGTGAAGGATGGCAGAGAAGGAGCAGGTGTGAAATCTCTAGAGGTGGTGGGACTCTCTTATCTCCTGTGCCCAGGAGAAAGAGGAGAATTGTGCCAAGCTGCAGATAAAACCTGATTCATTCATCACCAAATGGTGCTAGTGGGGAGTGAACATGCCCAGGTGAAGGGATGAAACTGCTGGTGGTTGAAGCAAAGGGAGCAGTGATGGGCAACCCAGAGGCTAGAGATGGGCAGGAGATGGGAGGCCAGGAAGGGGGACAGAGCTCAAATTGCTGCTGGAGGGAGTGGTGAGCTCACCAGCAGAGAGAGCGCCCTGCTTTGCCCATCACTGGTGGCAGATACCCCCTGATGTCTGGGGGTAACCAATGGGTGCTCAGTGGTGGTGGGTGCAGAAGTCAATTGGACTCTCCAGGGTGGCTGTCCCAGCCCTAGGATCTATGGCCTGGATGCTACATGGCTGGAAGCTGCATCCCCAAACTCTGCTGGGAGTCACGAACTGTACCAGAAGAATCAGAAATCCAGAGGACTAGGAGACCGTTCCTGAGGCTCCTCCGGGGGAAGAGAACTGGGGTAGCAGCCAATGGGTACTGGTTCCTTCTGTCCCCAGCTGCCTAGCCCTGGTGTGGCCCTCTGCTATCTTTCAGGCACCTCAGTTTCCTCCTGCCCCAGACAACTCCTGCTACTCCTCCTGCTGATCCAGTGCTGGGGGCTGTCTCCCTCCTGTGTCCTGGCTGCACCTGAGATGAAATCACCATGAACAAGCTATCCCTCCCTGCACTCCTCCTGGTCTCTTTTCTCCTGGGGCTGACTCCCATCATTCTCCTCCTGCATGTACCCCTGCCCCAGGCATGTCTCTCCAGAGATATTAGAGCCAAGTGTTGGGAGATGCTTGTGAGGGGTCACTCCTCCAGCATCCCCAGGCAGGACAGATTGGTCTGAGGACAGGGTCCAGGCAAACCCAGTGTGGGGACAGGGGCCAGGCAGGGCTTAGCTGGCAGGCAACACAGGGATGCCAGGTTTGGGCAAGGCCGTGCCAAGGGTGTCAGGGTCGGGCAGGAATGTGATGGGCAGGTGTTGGGGACACCTCGAGGCCAGGTCGAGTTTGGCAGGGCTGCGGCAGGACCACGAGCGGAGCCGGGCAGTGCTGTGCCAGGCAGGTCCCGCGAAAAGGACTGCACGTCCAAGCGCGGCGGTGGGACGCGGGGCTGGACAGGCTGAGGCCACCGTCCCACTGCCGGAGGGTGCCCGTCCCCGTGGCCGTGCCCACATCGTGGCCGTGGCTGTGCGCCGGGAGCCGAGCCTGGCACCCGGGAGTCCCCCCGCCCGGCCCGCCCTGTCCGTCCCCCCGGGCTCCGGTTTCCCTGTCGGAGCAGATGCTTTCGCAGCCCCGTCCCTCCTCCTCCTCCTTCTCCGGAGCAGCCTCCGCGCCGCGCTCCAGCCGCCCGGAGTTGCCTGCCCAGCCCAGCCCAGCCCAACCCAGCCCGGCTCGGCCCGGCCCCGCCGGCCGCGTTGCCCGCCCGGCCCGGCCCGGCGGAGTGAGGCACCGGGCACCCACCCGCCGGGGCCCCGACCAGACCCTAGGGGCAGCCCGGCTCTCCGCGGGTGGCGCGGAGCGGGTTCGACGCTTCTCTCAGCCCTGGCAGGATGCTGCCTTCTTCCCGGACCCAGCTGGGGCTCTTCTTCATCCTCCTCTGCCCCGCCAATATCATCGGGCTCTGGTGGTGAGTAGGACATCCCGGGGGGGGATGCAGGAGGGCACGCAGGGTCCCTCGATCGCCGGGGGTGGTCCTCCCACCCCAGCTTGGGGATAACAGAGTCCCCTACACCCAGGGCACAACTTGGGTAGGGACTGCTGCTTGCTGACCAGGAGTATCCAGATCAAGGCACCCACATGCTGTCAGGGTTTGGGCACACAAGTGTGTTGGGGACAGCAGGCTGGAGCTGCCCCAGGGGTATGGGGCACACAGGTCCTGTGGGGAGAGCTGCAGTCTGCCTCCCTGCACCTCAAGCCTTCAGCCTAGGAGGGTTGTATGCCTGAGGGGTGGGGAAGGTGGGGTAGGGGCCTCCAGACCCTTCCAATAAGTCAACTTTAATTAAAAGCCCGAGGGTCCCTACCGTGTCCCCCCTGAACAGTGGCCTGGACACAGCAGGGACAAAACCCCTATTTGTAATGGTGCCTTCATCAAAGGCAGAGACGGTGCCTTGCAGGATACCAGAGGGGGTGGGGGATTCATTACAGGCACAGAGCTGGGACCCAGCCTTGGAAAGCCCAGGTATCTGTCGAAACATGAACTATTTAAATCTATTAAGAATTTCACCCAGCCTGTCTTTATCCGGTTTTAAGTGCTTAGATTCCAGCTCCCCGGCGTGCCGTCCGGGCTATCATTCATTATCTGAGGCTATTCGTCTCCACATTGTCACACTCTTTTGACCCCTAAAATAAAGCTCTCCATAAGCCTTTCCCCTCTTGGTCCACTGCCTGCCCATCAGTGATTTATTCTACATCTCCATTCCCTTTGCTAGCCCTGGCTCCAGGGATGCAGGGCAAAAGCAGGGGCCTCGGTGAGTATAAATGGTGCTGTTATGGTCAGTTGTACACCAGCTAAGTTTGTCCGAAGAGCAAAAACTTGGTTTATTGCCAGACAAGGGTTTAACATGGGTCTGAGAGGGGCTTGCCTTGGTTTTTTTTGCTAGAGGAGGGGAGAATGAGGCAGGGCAAGACCTGGTCGGGGCAGGGTGTGTGTGGAGGATCTCCATGCTCCCTGCCACCCACCTCAGGGTAGATATGCAGGACTCATTCCCTCCTGCTGCCTGAGATCTGCTGTATTTCTCTGGCTAATTCTCAGACTCATACACAGCTGTCCCTTTAGGTCTCCATGCTTTCTCTGCCCCATCCTCATCAATACCCACCCAGTGAGCCCTCACCTTCAAGCTCATGCCCTGTGCTCCAGCTTTGAGGACTCCTACCCATGGCTGGAGCAGGTAGAGGTGAAGCAGAAGTTAATTCTGCCTTCAATTCAGGGGCAGGCAGACGGCACCGGCAAGGGCAGAGTGCTGGGGTACTGCTGCCCCCTGCCCTAGCAGCTCAGAGCCACGTCTCACTGTGGAGCCTGGGTCCTGCTGATGCTGTGACCATGCCATGTATGCGCTGGCAGAACTGACTTGGGGAGATTAGCAGGATTTGGCAGAGGAGGGCAAGGGGTCAAACTTGTTTTTTCTTCTTTTAAAAAATAAGAAGGGAAGGAACCTTTAATTTAAGAATAATAAGAATAATGCCTGCAACATGGTTGAATGCACTGAGCAGTGGAATGGCTGCAGAGGGATCACCATCTTGCACTCTACTTCACTCTGGAGCCAGCAAGCCCAGAGGAGGTGGAGGTGGTGTGTGGATGAGGCCACCAGCACCACCAAATGGACATGCTGGGCTTCCCTGGACAGGGCACAGGAGCAGCTGGCTGATACATGAGCTGCTTCCCACAGAGCTTGGGTTTTGGCCCCTGGCTGAGATCATCCCTTATTTCCAGGGAGCTCTTCCCATGCTGGGGAGAGAAGTCCGGGTGCTGCCTGACCCCTTGAGCCAGCTCATGAGGCATCTTCCCATATGCCTGCTCCTGGTCCTGTCTCCCGGGTCTGGGTAGCACTGATGTTTGTGGGGTTTGCTGTTGGAGGAGAAGGGTTCAGGTATACAGCCATATGTTGTGCCAGAGTTCCTGGAAGCCTCAAGACTGGTGGCATTGATAGAGATGTTCCTTGCTGTCACTGTCACTGATGCATAGGAACTTCACTGGCACACCTTTATGTGTGCCTCACTGGGCACCTATGAGTGCTTAGCCAAGGGGGCATGTTCCCCTGGGAAAGAAAGGAATGTCTTTACTGCCCCCTCTATCCCACCCCTTAGTGCATTAGCTGTGTGGTGGGGGGAATGCAGGGGTTGCCTGTTTGAGGCAATTTTTTCCCCCACTGGTGGCAAACTAATTTTTGAGAGAGGCATGATGGGGTGTAGCTGGGTTGGGTCCCAGGAGACAGTCCCCAGACAAGGCATGCAACTGGGCCTGGTGTCCTGGTTTTAGCTAAGGTAAAGTTAATTAAAAGCATGACACCTGGCCACTCATGGGTGGTAACTGCACCTGTTGGGATCCTGGCAGATGGCTGCACCTATGGAAAAAGGTTCAAGTGTGACGTACGAGCACTGACATCATGCTAGTGATACTGTAGCCTGAGAAAGAGCATCCTCGGTGTGTTAGGATGCCCCCACAGTGCTCATGAAGATACAGTCACCCTTGTCCTACACACCCTGTGCCCCTGTGTCTAAGAAGAAGCAAAGGGGTACAGGCAGACACAGACCTTTCCATGGCATGGCACTATGGTCAGTGCCAATGGAAGTTGTGCCACTCAGGTGCTGCTGGTACCTTGGTTAGTGCCAGGATGCAGGGAATAGGCTCCCCTTGCTTCCACCAGCCCAGTAAATTCTCTTTCTTCCTCCTCCCCTCTTCTTTAGGTGTTTCTTACCCAGCTCCTTGTGCAACAGTGATTTCTCCCTGAGCAGGACAAGTAGGGACTGCCTGGGGCTCCTGGGCTGGCCCAGAGGGTGAAGGATACAGGACTTGCAAATGTAGTGTCTGAGGAGCCCCGGGCAGGTTCAGGGCATGATTTCAGCCAAGCCGGTTTGTGGTTGGGCTGTGCTTGCAGGAACAGAGGCACTGTGGGGATGGGGGCAAGCAAAGCCAGGCTTCCTGAGTGCCCATTGGCTCTCCATAGGCATGGCTGAGAGCAGCTGGGAGATGGAAGAGAAAGCAAGGGAGAAAACCATCCCAGCTAAGATGTGCTCCATTCCAGCTGTGGGTCCTATGGGGCCTGGAGGGATGGACACCTGCCCTCCATCCCCTTCCCATCCATGCACAAGGGCACTGCACCTCCAGGTTTCCATGGGGCTTCTTCAGAGGCACTCATGGAGGATCTACTCCCTAGCATCTGTGGCTGTATCCTTGTTTGAGAGAGTCCCAGTCCTGCATCCCCTGATCCACATAGCTCTGGGTGGTTTCATGCACCAGTGGCCTCCCCTTCTCTTCCACTGCCCTGACCAGCACCCAGACTGCTGAGAGCCTGTAAGAGCAGGCTGCTGGGCTGTAGGGCCCTGCCTGCATGACTTTGGGTGAGCAATGTGAGTCACTCCCTGGACTTGCTGACCTACAGCTGCCACCCCACAGCGCCCAGCAGACTGGGCTGCCCAGCCATCCCGGGCATGCCCTCACCCCTGGAGCAGCACCATACAGGAAGCAACAAATGTCCCAGTGTGGTGGCTCCTGACCAGTGCCATCTCCCTGTGCCCCTACTCAAGCAGCTGCTGACCCTCTGGGTTTTTCAAGAGGAAAATATTTCCCTTGCACTTTTTGAGATGGCTACTGGCTCCAGCATTAGGCTACTTGTGTTCTCCCCCAAAGGCAGCTGAGCTTTCACCCATACCATCCCTTGTCCCTGCTCCTGGTCACATCCACTCTCACATGGTGACACCCAGGCTCCCCAGCCCTGCCCTACACATACCCCAAACTGGAGGGCTTGTCTGGGCTTTACATCAGAGGCTTAATCCCTTCAAATACCCCTCATGTGGGAGGGTGCTGGGCAGAGCTGAGCACACCCCGATATTTGCTCAGAATTTGCAGGGTCCTGCTGCCACATGTGGCACCTGTATTTGGGCATAAGCTAGCCCAGCCCTCATGCCACCCCAGCTCCAGCCTCTGCCAGAACCCGGAGGAAGAACACACTGACCACGGGTGGGTGGATCTCTTACCTTTTTATCCCAGCCCTTCTAGGGTTTGGACACAGTTTTAGGACCCCCGTCTCTGCAGGTACCTGCTCCCTCCGTCCTCCCTGGTACCTGCACCACAAGTTTGGGCAGCTACTGTTCGCAAGCACCTGGCCTCAACATGACCCTGCAACCAGCAGGTCCATGGGTTGATGCCATGCCATGCCAAGCCAAAGCCTCTTTTCTTTAGGCAGCTGCCCATCTATTTGCATGACATTCTTGCCAAGGAGGTGTAAAGAGGAAGGTGGGGCACAGGGTCCCCCTGCTCTCCCCAACCTGCGGCATTTCCTGCTCCCTCAGTGCCCCCATCCTGCTCAGCAGCCAAACCCTGGCTGTGCCCCCCCAGGGCACTGACTTGTTGCTTACTCACCACACCCTCGTGGGCCTCCTGCTCTGTTTTCCACACCCGGCTGCCCCGGTTAGTGGCAGCACCCACGCATCGCCCCAGGTGAGGGGTCGAGCGCCCGCTACACTTCAGCATGAGCTGAAGCACAAGCTGGACAGGTGAAAATTCATCTGTGTGTCCCCCTCACCCTGTTTGCACACCTTGGAAAGACACAGGTTCCCTTTGGGTTTGACTTCCTTTTAGGGCTGTCACTGAATGTGTCATCATTGTGTGGGACATGGGGTGACCTGTTCCCCCAAGGGATGGAGATCAGTTCTCCAGGGCTGGCATCCTGCAGTTCTTACCTCTCCAAGTGGATGCACCTGTGGGCTCAGAGCGATGAGCTGGGTACCCTAGCATTGTGCACTCCCTTCCTGATGACACCCAGGGACTGGGATAGAGACCTGGATGTGAGGCAAGACATGCCCTTACCACCCCACAGCAGAGTCCCCTTGTCACATGGGAGCACCCAGGCAGCAATACTTAATGGGTTCAGACCTAGCAGGTCCAACATGGAGCTGGCATGGCACAACCACTGCTCTCCTTTGGGATTTCAAGGCCATCAGGACCAAAGGAAGCATTTTTCATCCAAGACGTGGGTGCCACTTTTGAAGGCTGACCATTCTCTGAATGATTCTGCCAGCCTCACTCCATTGGCTTCCTGCAAACCAGGACCTCACTGGCTCCCCTTGATCCCATCTGCTGACAGGGGCTGGGAGAAGCCTTGCTCCACACCATTCCCATGCCCAAGGGGAAGATGATGACTTGAGCCAGGCTCCTTCATCTATGATTTTATCTGGGAATGAGACTGGGGCATACTGGATGCTCTGTGACTGTGAGCTGAGCTGGAAAAAGCTGGTGATTATGGCTCTTAGGAACCCCCAGCTCTATTGCACAGGGACAGCATCTGGAGCAGAGGGGTTGCATCAGAAGTCCCAGTGACTCCTGTTTGGTGTGTGTCACTGGGACAGGGCTCAGGCTGTGGCTGTCGACAGCCTAAGGGGTGACAGCAGCAGTCTGGTGGTAGATTGCAGCTCCTTTTCTGTGCCTCAGTCTCCCCTTTCACCAATGGGGGTTGTTTCGCTTACACAGGGGAGCTGGGAATCGGGTCGGGAAGTGGGGCTCATCATCCCATCTTCTTTTGGGGCAAGATAGCAGCCACCCAGCAGCAGTTCTGGCAGCCAACAGGACGCCGGGGGCAGGCAGGACGGATGCTGCCAAGCCACTGAGCCTGGCTAGGGGCTCTCAGGCAGGAGGTGGTGGGGGGGGGGACGAAGTGCCTCAGGTAAGTTGTGGGGAGCCGGGCTGGCGACCCTGTTCCTTCACCAGGGCAGGGGGAGGAGGGCCCAGCGGCAGAGGTGGGGCACCTTAATTGTAGATGCGGGAGGCCTTGGAGCAGGACAAGCTCAGGCAGATCTGGGCCCTGCGCTGGAGCCCTTGCCAAAGTGGTAGCAGTTTGGCAGCATTTTTCTTGCCCTTGTCTTCCCCCATGCTCCCCCCCCTCTCCGAACCCTCCAAAGCAAAACAGCTCTTGGGCTCCCAGCAGCCTCCCTGTGCCAGAAAGTGGAGCCCAGCGGAAATTAATATTGTGTTGGACTTAGGCAGCCCACCCCACGCCTCGTCGGCACGGACAGTGAGCTCCCACACTCTCCAGCCAGCTTTGCTGCTGCCTGGACCATGGGTGGGGACCCCCGTTGTGCTGGGGAGCCTCCCCCCAGCCCTACAGGGCTGAGCTCTTCTTCCCGGCTTGATCCAGCGGGCCGGGGTGAGCCGCAGTTCAGTATTTGATCTGATGGCCCTGGGGTGTGAGCGCATCATTTTTATATGAGTACAAAGAGTCATCTCTTAATGAAAGTCCCATCCCAGCTCCCCTTCTTCCCCACCCCACTGGAGGAAGCAGCTAAACCTCTGCCGTCCTGTTGTAGATGTTGGGATCCCACGATCCCCAAGGACAGCGAATTTGGAGCCCAGTGTTGAGGCTTGGATTGCTGTGTGGTCATCATGGGGTTGGACTGGACGGATTTTCTGGTTACTTTCCATGTGGGCCTCAGTTTCCCCATCTATGGGGGAGCTGTGCCAGGCAAGCCACAGCTCTGAAATGCTTCCCCAGCTGCCCCATCCTTTTGGAGAGGTGCAGCAAAGGGAAGCTGAGCTGCCAGGAGCAAAGGGTAATGGGTTCTTCCCAGAAGGAGTGTGGGCTTGCCTCAGTCTCCCTGCTGGAGATCCCCTTTCCAGGCTGTGCATCTCTGTTGAGTTGTTTAACCCTTTAAACTTCCAGCCAAAGCATAAGGGCTCCTTTTCCAGGCTGTGCGAGAGAGCATGTCCTCCCTAAGCCCAGCTGGGGTCTGATGGGCACAAGATGCAGGCAGCTGGGGAGCCTGGCTTGGGGCAGTGAAATCCTGGCAGGACCTTGAGCTTCAAACCTTGGAGGGAGCTTGCACTGGGGACAGGATGGCAAGCAAAGTCCTGCAGCTTGGTATCCCAAACACAGCCCCCCAGCTGGGCGAGAGTGAAAAGGAAACCCAGAACACAGTTTACACAGAGATTCAGCTTGTGATTTTTGAGCCCCTGGGGCTTGGCCAGATTATAAAGCTCTGGGTTTGGAAGTTGCAGTGCAGGCGATGCTCCCCAGCAAGTGAGGCCGACGGCAGCACGGGCCGCCCATGCGCTGCTCCCTAGGGGACTCCAGGGAATGCGGCCTCACTGTCCTCAGGCACCCCTAGGTGTTGGGGTATGCTGAGTCCAACCCAGAGGTTCTGTGGGCATCCACAGACAGGAAAATCATGTTGTTGAGCAGGGTGAACTCTGAGCCCACAAGAGCGCTGCTGGAGGTGAGGGAGGGCTGAGTGGGGCCGTGTTTAGGGTGTGCTAAATTTGTGTGGCCCATGGCCACACTGCCTCCTTGCCATGGGATGGGAGGCATGGGCGGGAGGCCGTCAGTGTGGCACGCCTGCCCTCTAACCACTGTGGCTCCTGTGTTGCCCAAGGCAGAGCTGGAGCATCTCCCGCCTCAGCATGTGGCAAAGTGCCGGCAGGCTGCAGGGTTCCACGAGCTGTGCTGTGGAGGGCACTCCAGGCAAAATGTGTGGGGAAAGCACTGAAGTTTCTGTAGCCAGCGGCACACCGGGGAGCACGGTGTCATGCTCAGACTTTGCCTCCCAGCCCAGAGAGCCAGGCATCTCGCTCCAGCTGTGCTGGCAAGGAGGAGCCACCTCTGACTTGGGCCCAGCCAAGACTTGCCCTCCCGCGTTGGCATTGGCAGAGCTCACGATGCCACCTGCATCCCTCCCTCGCACTCCTGCACCCGCCTGCAGCTCCATTCCCTGGAGCTAGTGCCTGGATTCAGGGAGGTGAGCACAGGAACCTGGCTAGCAGCCAAGGTGCTTTATCACAGGCAAGGTCACACATCTTGTCTCCCACAGGGTAAAGCAGAGAGCCCCCCTGGAGAGGGGGAGATGCTCCAAGAGCACTTAATGGGCTCCTTATTGTGTCCACAGCTCTGGGAGATGCAGCTGCACCAGGCACCAGTCATACTGAGATGCCAAGGCTGAATTGGGTCAGTGCCAGACCCAAAGAGCAGGTGCTGAGTAGCACAGTATCTCTGCCGTCTCCCGTCAGGGACACTGCCATTACCCCCAGGGATGTCCCCAATGGTATGGAGTGGTATGTTCCAGCATCAGCCCATAACCAGTTCCATGGCTGGGGATCCTCCCCATTCCCCTACTGGCTGGGTAAGGCAAGGTGTCCCCTGGGTGATGGCACACAGGTGCCACCCATACCTTTTGTCCTGTCCTCCCTGCATACCTCTCTCTGTCCCTTTGTCACCTGAGCTCAGCACTGAGCTGTCACTGCCCTGCAGCCCTGCTCTGTCCCTGGGAGCAGGTCTGGTCATGTCCCATCCACACCTTGATCCCTCCTGAGCTTGGGTGCTGGTTTTGCTCTGCTCGTCTGTCCCCTCCTGCAGGGCAGTGGGGAGCCCCCTGGTCATGGACCCCAACAGCATCTGCCGCAAGACAAAGCGGCTGGCGGGCAAGCAGGCGGAGCTGTGCCAGCTGGAGCCAGAGATTGTACAGGAGGTGGCCAAGGGCACCAAGCTGGGCGTCCGGGAGTGCCAGTACCAATTCCGCTTCCGCCGCTGGAACTGCACCAGCCACAGCAAGTACTTCGGCAAGATCTTACAGCAGGGTAAGGCCAGTGCTTACTCAGCCTCCCATTTTTCCGAAAAGCCTCCATCCGGTCACACACACCCCCAGGACTCCTGGAGCAGTCTTGGCGTGTGTGCGTGTGTGTGTGTGTGTGTGTGTGTGTGCATGTAGGGGGTTGTTCAGCGTTCCCTGGTGCAGTCACAATGAGGTTTTACTGCCGGGACATGTCTCCCTGTGTTGTAATGAAGCAATTACCGATGCTCCCAGACAGCATGGGGCTTCATGAAGCCCAAGAATGCACCCTTGTCTGGCAGTGATTTACTGCTCCCCCAGGACCCCAGGGTGTGCTGGGGGAAGGGACCTAGGTGGAAGGCAGTGCGCAGCCACTGGGAGCTGCCCCTCACCCTGTGGGTACCCTTCACTTCCCTCTTCCTGGTCTTGCAGGAAGCAGAGGAGAGGTGTGCTTGTCCCCTGTCCCTATGCCTGTGGGTGGGTACCCTGATGTCACCCCAAGGAACAGGGCCAGGGGCAAGAAGGGATTTGCAGGTCCCAGCCGGACAGATACAGTGGTCCAAGCCTGGCCCTGCTGCATCAAAGTCAGAGAAGGAGCAGAGCAAGAGGACACCTGTCAGTGTGTAAGGGAGGGGAAAGCCCTGCCATGCTCCCCAGGAAGAGAGGCTGGGGGTGGATGGTGATTCAAGCAAGGGGGGGAACACAAGTTTGAAGCACCTCAGGCTGGTAGGATCACTTAGTGGGAGGTGAATTTAGTCCTGCCCCTGTTCCCATGTTGGTCCCTGTGCCATAGTAGATGAAGACGTTGGAGCCAGCCCCAGTCTCCTTGGCCATGAACAGGTCACATCTCCTGTTCATACATGGTCAGGCCCAGGTAAAGTGGGTATGTCCTTGGGCCATGAAGAGGGGTCAGGGTGGCCTCCCTGGGGGCATTGGAAAGGGTGGGGTGCCCTGGGCACCCAGTGGCTGCAGGTACCAATGGGGGTCTCTCTGAGGGAGACACTGGCCTGTGGAGGGGGGACAGGCTCATTTTGCAGGTGTGGGTTGCCCCCAACAGAGGAAGGTGTATTCAGTTACGTGGCAGAGAGCCACAGCACATGGGGGACACTCTTGCCTCTGGGGTCACCTCTTTTCACCCCAACCTGGCAGCAAGGCAGGTGGCATCTGTGACTGGCAGGCAGGGATCCAGACTGCAAGTAGGATGGTACCAGAATGCGATGGCCAGACTGAAAGATACTGATTGATGTGCTGCTGGTAACCCAGGAGCAGCTTGAGTTGGGGGAGACACAGGCACGTCAGGCATGGGGATGCTGAGGGAGCCACCATGTTGGTCCAGCCTCATTGCTGGGGTGGTAGAGATAAGCAATATCCTGAAGATAGTGGTAAGTTTGGGAGTACTTGGCACTCTGAGGACATAGGGCACCCCAGGGAGAGGTGTGGTGGTCCTCAAGGCCACAAGATGGGTGTCAGAAGCCCTGCACTGAGAGATGCCTGTAGGCACCAGCCTCCCTGTAATCCTATAGGGACTGCATAAAGCATCCTAGCATTTTTGGGGTTCCCAGCTCCATCAGATGAGTACCTCCCATCCAGGATGAGTACCTTTTCTATCCAAGGTACTGCAATGGGATCCTGTTCCCAGTTGTGGTCTCCCTGGAAGAGACAAAGCTGTCCCCTCTTCCCTCCCTGCCTCCTGTGGCAGGTATGGCATGCCAGGGCAGGCTGGCATGGGGGGAGCCACGTGTCTGGAGGAACTGTCAGAGGAGTGGCATCCCTCTGGCCCTGGCTGGCAGGGTGGCATGGGGAACTCTGCCAGCTGTGGGCTGCCTGACGAGGGCTCTGCCAGGCCCAGGCAGGAGCAGACGGGTGGTCAGGTGGCTTGGGGGGCAGGAGGGCTTGGGGAGGGGGTGGCATCCCTTGGGTGGCATTGTCAAAAAGGCACTGGTGTGCCCAGCTCCTGCTAACACCAGTGGGACTCGCTGCATGTGTTTTTGGAGAAGCCACTCATGGAACTGGTGCCCTGGAATCCCTCTTCCCACAGCCTCCCCAAGTCAGAATGCTGGAGATGGGGGGACGGGTCACCGCCCAAAGCTCATCTTCCCCTCCTTCCCCAGGAACCCCCTGCATGTCATCACCCTGGGCAGTCTTGCCCTGGCATTTGGGTGGGCAGGGGTTCGGCTGGCATGGAATAGGGGGAGCACAGGAGCCCCCTTAGCAGGGCGCCACACTCCCACTGCCAGAATCCCCCGCTGGCTGCGGCTGCGAGCGGCAGGTCTGGGCAGGGGAAAGATGCTTGGAATTTGTGTCCCGGAGCAGAGAGAGACAGGAGCAAATACTAATAATAAATAATCCTGCAGGGTGGAGGCTGCACTGGTGGAGAGAGGGGGGGCAGGTGGCGCCCCATGGCAAAGCAGGTATGGGGGCAGAGCAGGCAGCACGGCATCCTCCATATCCCTCTCAGCATTACTGTCCAGGTGCCAGTTTGCATCTGGGGATAGGATTTTTCCTGCTTGGAGGGATATTGCAGGGTGATGTGAGGAAGCTGTGAGTACCACCTGGGACCGCCCCCTACTCTCCAAGTTTCCCTCTTTCCTATGGGGCAGCACCCATCCTTGCAAGGGGAGGTTGTCTCTCCACAGCTGGGGTGGAGGAACACTGGCATGGCCTGGCCATCCCCCACATTCTTAATATCTGCTTGCAAGAGGCAGTTCCTGCCCCAGGCATCCTGTACCTAGGTGGGTGCATCACCCAGGGAACAACGTTGAGCACAGATGAAGGGCGAGAAGTGGGAGGTCTTAGCCCCCATGGGATGTTAGCCCGGGGGGGGCGGTGCTTTGTTTACAGAGCCTTTGCCGGAGCTGACTCCACATTCTGGCCCTGTCTGTTCTCCTGCAGATATCCGTGAAACAGCCTTCGTGTATGCCATCACGGCGGCCGGGGTGAGCCACGCCATCACACAGGCCTGCAGCATGGGAGAGCTGCTGCAGTGCGGCTGCGAGCTGACACGGAGCCGGACTCCTCCCTCCCCCACGGCGGGTCCGGGCACGGAGGGCACGGCCTGGGAGTGGGGGGGCTGTGGGGACGATGTGCAGTTCGGCTACGAGAAATCCCAGCAGTTTATGGATGCTAAGAACAAGAAAGGCAAAAATGACATCCGAGCTCTTATCGACCTGCACAACAACGAAGCTGGGCGCTTGGTAAGGCCCCTGTGCTCCCTGTCCTCTGCAGGTATCAACCCCTGTGCCCTGCCTAACAGCCCTGCACCCTTAATTTCCCCAAGCCATATACCTGCACCAGCTTTGGCTGAAATATGGACTCAATATTTTTCAGGAACTCTTTGCAGGTGCTTTGGAAACCCCCTGTGCCCCTCTCCACACCCAGACCCCTTCCCCAGGGCCAGGGCAGCACCAAGAGGCAGGGTTTTGGCTGGGGATGCTGGGCAGGGAGGCAGGGGAGCAAGGGCTGAACATCACTGTCTCTTCCCCAGGCGGTGCGCAGCTACATGAGGACAGAGTGCAAATGCCACGGGCTGTCGGGCTCCTGCACCCTGCGGACCTGCTGGCGGAAGATGCCCCATTTCCGCGAGGTGGGGGACCGCCTGCTGGAGCGCTTCAATGGGGCTTTCAAGGTGATGGGAGGGAACGATGGGAAAACCCTCATCCCTGTGGGTGACAACATCAAGCCCCCTGACAAGCAGGACCTCATCTACTCTGCTGACTCGCCTGATTTCTGCTCAGCTAACCGTAAGACAGGCTCACTGGGCACCCGGGGCCGTGTCTGCAACAGCACAGCCATGGACACGAGTGGGTGCGACCTACTGTGCTGCGGGCGAGGGCACCGGGATGAGACAGTGGTGTTGGAGGAAAACTGCCTATGCCGCTTCCACTGGTGCTGCGTGGTGCAGTGCCGCAAGTGCTCCGTCCGTCAGGAGCTCAGCCTCTGCGTCTGACAGCCTGGGGTCAGCCAAGGACAATTTGGGGGGCACACCTCCAGGCTCACGCAGCCCCTCTGGGACAGAGACACGTGGAGCCAGTGGCAGGGACAGTGTGGGTGAGCCCAGCTCTGTGCTCTGGGGAGTCCTGGCTTCCCCAGAGGACATTGTGGGGCTGCCTGGCATCCCCACAGCCCCCGTGGTGGGGGCTGTGGGCACAGAGCTTCCACTAATAAAGCTATTTAAAACTGGTGTGCCACAGCGCTTCCTGGGGAGGGCTGGGAAGCGCTGACCACCGTACTGGAATGGGACTGGCCAGAGAGCTGTCCTGCCCCAGCTGCGAGTCCCAGTCAGCCACACTCCCTCAAGCCTCTGGTTTGTGCTGGCCTTGCTGGGACCTGTGTCAAAGCCTGCCTCATTTTTTATCTGCTCCCTGATTTTCTCTGTGGTTGTCAAGCCTGGAGATGTGCATGGATGAGGGTGAGTTACTCTGCACCTTCCAGGCTACATGAGGGCTCTGCTCCCATCACCCATGGTTGTTATTGCTTGGGGGTGCCAGTTTGTGCCCCACCACCACCTGACCAGATGTTTGCAGTGGCCTGCAGTCCATGGTCCCTCCACTCATGCCTCATGCCAGAGGTACAGCTTCCTGCCCTGACACTATGGTGATGGGCTCTGAGTTTTTTGAAGGGTTCCTGTATTCTTTTCACTCCAACCACCGCCAATGCAGTCCCCACTCCAGGGCCTGGCACAGAGAAGCCCTGGACAAGGCTGACACCATTGGCTTGGTGGCATGCAAGGCATTCACTTGGCATGCTGTGGGCCACGTGCAGCCTCACCTGGATGGCAGGGTGCCAAGCATGTATGTCTCAGTAACCTGATCAGCCTGTGCCCCTCATGGACAAACACAGGGTGAGGAGCAGCCTGCCTGGCTGCCCAGCAGGGCAGGCTGCCAAGCCTCTGCTCCAGGGGCTCCAGGGATCTCCAAGAGGGTCCCTCCCATGCTTCAAGGAACCCATGGGAACTGGTTTCTCCAGTGTTACCCGGTGTAGGGGTTTAGGTAACTGCAGAGGGGAATGTGTATGCAGTGCCTGCTCAGCTGGTAATGCCCCCCTGGGCAGACAAGCCCCAGAGGGATGTCAGCAGGGCCAGAGCCTGGGCAAGGAGGTCCACGCTCCTGTGCCTGCCCTCCACGCTGCAGCACGTGCTGGGCATGGGGGCTTTGCCTGTTGACCCCTTCGCAAGAGGGCTCTAAGCTGAGGTGGGCAATGCCCTAGGTGCTGGGTACTGCCAGGTAGGGCAAGAGCTGAGCTCGAAGTGCTGGGCACACTGCAAGGCAAGAGGGGCTGCACCCCTTGCCCACCAGTGAGTCCCTCCTTGCCCACCCTAGGCAGCCAGCGGGGAAGGGCAGGGGAAGCAAGGTGCTGGTGAACCATTAACTTGGCCCAGCAAGTGCTGGGGAGGGAGTCTCCAAATCTGTCAGCTGCAGCTTTACAGCTGGAAATTCCCTCCTGACTTGCCCACAGTGCTGCTGGAAGAGGGGAGGCACACAGGGCTCCCGGGAACTCCCAGCCATGCGCCTGCCCATGGAAACACCTGGATGGGTGTGAGCAGTGCCGGGTGGGTGCAAGTGAAGGTACCTGTGCATGCAAGCAGCTTGGAGTGTGTGCATGCACAAGTAACGTGTTTATGCTTGTTCATGACCATATGTGTGAGTGTGAGCTTGTGTATAACCTGTCACTGTGTATGTGGGCTCCTCATGGGTGTGTAAACAAGTTGGCCCATGTATCTTCCTGCATCTCTATGAATATACAGCAAATTGTCAAGTGTGTGTGTCAGTGACACCGTCCCTGCATATACCTATGTGAGAGTATGTTTGTTTGCACACATCTTATTGCGTTTCCTCAGGGGCGTCTGGGACAGAAGGGACATGAGTGGGTGCAGAATGGTCCTCCAGGAAGGGAGTTGCAGAGATGCAGGGTCTGTGTTCTGGGAGATGTGGGAGCCATTTCATGGGCTCAGCAGGTCCTTTGAATTGGAAACTCTTGAGCACACCTCAAGCCCTGCACTGCCTATCGTGAGAGCTCAATTCAGGCAGCTCCTGTACAACTTTGGGTCATCCATGGTCTCCTCTGGAGCCAACACAGGCTGAGGCCAGCTACAGAGGGATTCTGAAACCCTCTGAGAAATGTTCAAAGTCCTAGCTCTGATGTTCAGCAAGTTCCTTCTGTGGATTCTGTCTCAATTTCTCCACAATAGGCTGCTTTCATGCTCTGAGCTGCATGGACATGGGTCTTGGAGGTCTGGCCATGGATAAACCCCAGGGAAGACATTTAGTACTTTTGAGTAAAGGATCTCACCTGTGTCCTCTCTGCCATTGCCCCAAATCACAGCTCCTGAAGGATGGCGATCACATAAGCCAAAAATGTGGAGCCCCTCATGGATGTGCAAGTCAGTTGGACTTTGTGTCTTGTTTCCAGCCCAGCTGGGGAAAGGGCTAGCTCTTGTGGGGGTTGACAGCTTCTTACCACAGCTTCCTGCTACTCCTAAGCCGGTAAAGCCAAATCCATTCCCTTGTTAGGCAGAGAGGCCCCGGCACAGGCAAGTGATGCCAGTAGCCAGTCAGGATCTGGACCTGGCCCAGTGGTTTGTAGAGGACTGAACAGCCAGCAGAGCCCCCTAGCAATCTCACAGCTCTCCAGATCTCCATAGCTCCCCAAGAGCTCTCTATTCACTAGGACCCCACCCCAGATTCCTAGGAAACCCCAGCAGTCCCTAAGTGGCCCTCACCCCCTCACGTTACTTCCCAGGTGCCAGGAAGTGGCCTAGGAGTCCCCTAGATTCACAGAAGTCCCGCAGCTATTCAGAACCCTAGGAGGCCTCTGAACCCCTTCAAGACCCAGCAGTTCCCAACTCGGGGGGGCGCAGCATCCCCGCTGTCGCCGTGGCAACCCGGGATGCGGGGCGGGGCGGGCGGCGCGGCGCCGGGCGGCCGCCAGGGGGAGCTGCGGCACGGCACGGCCTGGCACGGGTGGGGACAGCCCAGGGGGGGCATGGGAACATGGGAGTGGGAATGGAGGGGTGCGTGGGGAACATGGGAGTGGGAGTGGAGGGTGCGTAGGGAACATGGGAGTG